TATCTCTACACTAAAACCAAGCTTTCACACATGAAACCTTGGGGACAAGCCACATCCAAACCATAGCAGTGTGCTTTTGGAATCATTAAAAAAAAAAAAAAACTTATCGCCCAGGTAAATGTGATAGAACTTCTAGCCACATTTTCTTCTAGTCATTTTATAATTTGAGGTGTAAGTTAATCTATTTTCAGTTGTTGGTTTTTTTTTTTTTTTTGTATATGGTATAAGCTGATTCTCTAATTCCATTTTCTTCATGTAAATATCCAATTTTCTCAACACCATTATTGAAAAGATTTTCCATTCCCACTTTTGTCACCTTCATTGAAAATCAACTGACTATAAATGCATGGATTTCTGTCTGGGCTTTGTATTCTGTTCTATTGGTCCATGTCTGTTTTTGTACCAGGACCATGCTGTTTTGATTGCCATAGTTTTGAAATCAGTAGTGTGATGCCTCCAGCTTTGTTCTTTTTGTTCAAGATTGCTTTAGTTCCAATAGTTCTCAAAGAACTGTTACTCTAAGAGTTGTGTGATAGCTACAAAAGTCCCTCAAAAACTTAAGCAATCTACAAACTGAAGAAATTTATATATGTGTGTATGTATACATATGTATTTACATTAACAAAATATCAGGGGAACACTAAGTCTTTTACATGATCATTTAAATAATGGGTTAAAGCCAAAGATTTCTTTGATGCTTAGTACTTCTCTAAATTAATGACCTCCTAGTAAGTGTTTATCACCTGGTTTTGAAAACATTTTTGTGATTGATTTGATTATAAAAACATTGTCATAAAAGGGTATGTAAGACTAAATTAAAAGCTTTATGAGCCTGTAGTACAGTCTATTCAGCATTTTAATTTAACATCCTCTATTCAATACTCTATCAATTAGAACATCTAGGAAATCTGATATAACAAATGTTCAAACAATAACTACAAGACACAAAAATATCTGATTTTTTTGGTTGTTGTCGTCGTCGTTTTTACTGGGGATTGAACCAAGGGGTACTTAACCTCTTAGCCACATCCCCAGACTTTTTTATTTTTTAATTTTGAGATAGGGTTTCACTAAGTTGCTTAGGACCTCACTAAATTGGTGAGCCTGGCTTTGAACTTGTGATCTTCTAGCCTCAGCCTCCCAAGTTACTGGGCTTATAATCATGTACCACTACACCTGGCCAAAAACATCTGATTCTTAAAAAGTATTTCTTGATATAAAAATATTGTACTAATTTAAACAATAGAATCAAGTTTAGTGTTAAACCTGAAATAGGATGTATATATATACATTTAATATGTAGATTGCTGACATTTTCTTCCTTTAAATTTTCCTTTTTTTACAAGTAAAATGTGCTATTTTTAGTACTACAAAAAGAAAAAAGAAAAAAAATGGTACATTCAAAATATCTGAGTTTTATATTTGAGGAGCTAATTGTAATATTCAATTGGAGATATAAATTCTAAAATCAATTCTGACACCTTTTGAATGACTAGACAGATAACAACAGTCACATATATCACAGATTCCTTATATTTAGTGGAAGGATTAGAACTGTCAAATCAATAGATTATGGTAGGAAGCAACTGTTTTTTGATAGAGATGATATTCTAATGCTAAAAAAAAAAAAAAAATGACCTGAGGCTATGTATAGTTCAACATTGGGGGGCAAAGTGGCATTAGATTTAAAATTTTAAAAACACTGAATCATTTTACATCCATAATCTCATTTAAACTGGTTAACCAGCTATAACAGAAGAAAAATACTTATATTAAACAAGGAATTAATGTCACTGACTAAAATAATTTCATTTTATTTTCTTAATCATTTTTCCCCATTATATTTATTTATTTTTATGTGGTACTGAGGAATGAACCCAGGGCCTCACACATGCTAGGCAAGCACTCTTCCAGTGAGCCACAACCCCAACCCTAATGATAATTTTAGATAATTAATGATCAAAAGTCCTATTTCATTCAAGACAGCAATGTGGTGTCTTCTTTTTTCATTTCTAATAATGCAACATAACTTCAGGGATTTCATGAAATAAAAAAAGATCATAGGGGCTGGGGATGTGGCTCAAGCGGTAGCGCGCTCGCCTGGCATGCGTGCGGCCCGGGTTCGATCCTCAGCACCACATACAAACAAAGATGTTGTGTCCGCCGAGAACTAAAAAATAAATATTAAAAATTCTCTCTCTCTCTCTCTCTCTCTCTCTCTCTCTCTCTCTCTCTCTCTCCCTCCCTCCCTCCCTCCCTCTCTCACTCTATCTTTAAAAAAAAAAAAAAAAAAAAAAGATCATAAATGGGACTGGGGATGTGGCTCAAGCGGTAACACGATTGCCTGGCTTGCACGGGGCGCTGGGTTCGATCTTCAGCACTACATAAAAATAAAGATGTTGTGTCCACCGAAAACTGAAAAATAAATACTAAAAAATTCTCCTCTCTCTCTCTCTTAAAAAAAAAAAAAAAAAAAAAGATCATAAAGAATATCAATACTTTGTATAATTTTCTGATTCTACCTATATAATAGTTTGCTGACAACAGGAAATGAAGAAAACTTCCAGAAACAAGCAATTAAACATAATGGGTAATATATGCTCAATAAAAGAAATACATAGGAAGCTCATGACTTACAAGAATGCACACATTTCAGTTTGCCACTGTTTTAAAACAAATAGTAAAAAAACTCATTATGTGTACTCTGACCATTCTTTTGGTCCACCTCCGTCAATAAACATTACTCATAGTAGGGTAATATAATGAGTGTGCTGTAACTTCATAGTGCCTCTCAAAATCTTTTTATAGAAGAAAATCTGATTCATGCACATAAATGCAAAAATCATTAATATTTTATTTTTGCTGTTCTGTTTTTACAGTGTTGAGGACTGAACTTGGGGCCTTATGCATGTGAGGCAAACATTCTGCCATTAAGCTATATCCCCCGTCCTCTTTAATAATTTGGATTTTTCTCCCAAAATAAATCTCTATTTCTCCATGTGCCATCTGTTTTTCTAAGTGTGTACTACCTGCATCAGAGTCACCTAATGTACTTAGAAAAAGAAAGATTTTTGCATTGCCATCCCTGGACATACTAAATTTGGAGATTTGAGGTCCTCAAATCATTTTTTGTAAGTGCCAACTGATTCTTATGTACGCTAATGCTTGATACTTTGATTATATGCAATTTAGGTTCTAAGTAGTTTGAGAACAAGAATGATATAATTTCTTCTGTAATTACCCAACACAGAAAAGCCCCATAGAGAATGCTCAGTATCAATCTGTATTCAGAAATCTTAAAATACCACTCACATAGAGTACAGAGGTCATAATTTATAACCGAATGGTTGTTCTGGGATGCAGAAACCCAGAATGTGAAAACCTGCAGAACATGAGCATTTTAGTATTTGAATCAGAAAAGCCTCACAAGTAATTTGAGTGCAACCTTGATAGTAAGTATCATAAGATGCAATATTAGTATTTGAATATGCAATATATAATTTCACATGATTCTGCACAAACCAACTTCTGTCATTTTGACCAATGTCATCTTCAATACATAAAAAAACTATTTATTAAATCTGTAAGAATTAACTTTAAGCTTACGTTTTAAATCTCTAACAATTATCAATAGCCACAACAATGATTAATAAAATATGTAGTTCAGAATAATGGTTTCATTGTGAAACAACAACTTACAATAGGTCCAAAGAGAATAAAAAAGGTTAGGAAAAGAAGTTACATACAGCAAACTGTTGCTGCTAATAGAAGCTACAGAACAAGACACAGGAAGTATAATTTTAAACCAAAGTATGTTCTTCACAACTCTGAGCATTAACTGGAAATGAATGATTTTTATCCAAAACAATGAATCAAGTACACTAAAGGTAAACCTAAAAGATCATTTTCTTTCTTTTGACAAGGTAATTATATTATAATTACACCACTTATATCAAAATATAAATATAAAAACAACAATGCTACAGGTATCCAGTATAAAACATAGTATCAGATGTAATCCACAGGACTGTGTAGTACAAACTACTGCAAGATATGGAAACATTATCTATTGGTATTCTCATCAGCATAATGATAGCAACTATTTAAGTACTATTTGAAGGTTTTCATTTACAGATAGTATAATACTTGTTGCTTCTCACTAAAGTTTTCTACAACCAGTGTAAGCCAACATATGGAATGTTAAGAATACATTCACATTAACAGCATGATCATCTTCCTTTGATTTTTTTGAGATGGGAGTCTTGCACTGTTGCCCAAGTTAAACTGGAACTCTGGACTCAAAAAATTTTCCTATCTCAACCTCTCCAGTAGCTGGGATCCCAGGAGCTCATATGCAGTCTGTTTTTCTAAGTATGTACAACTCACGCCAGAATCACCTACTATATTTATGAAAAGAAAGATTCTTGCATTGCTATCCCCAGACTTACTAAATTTGAGAGGTTTGAGATCCTCAAAACCTTAAATCCACCGCAGTTGGTTTAAATCTTTCATGAAATCTGCCAACAGGAGAACCCATATTGTACTGAGCATAAAAAATGGAGCTACAAACATCTGGGCTTGACTCTGCTCTTGTCAGAACATTTTTAGCTTGAAAATTCTATGGTAACATCTAGATTACCCTTATAAAACAGGTAGCAATAGCACCTATGAAATTGTAATTGCAATTAAAGAACAAACGAAAAGATCTGATTTTTTTCTTATGGAAGAAAAATAATCATATATTCTTACTTTTTTAGAGAAATATCAAAGTAATCTAAAACAAAGTACATTCTTGGATGAAACAATACAAATGGCCAAGCAATGACTATTTTTGTTAAGAGTAGGGTATCATTAAAATTTAATCCAGCTATATCCAGTAAATTGACAGGAAAGAATAAATACATGGTTGCCTGCCAACACAATGCTTCAGTGTATCCACAAAATAGAGGTATATGTAACCTCCAAATCAAATCTATGTATTAAATTACTTAACTACTTACCCACAGTATACCAGCTAGCATCTGTCAACTTGCTGATAATAGCTTCCTGAAAGGATCCATCAGATGTCCTGGTTTCAACAATAGCTCCAACCTAAAATATAAAACCCAAATTTCCTTACCAAATTTAAACAAACAAATCAAATCACACCCACCATCTACATTATCTAGGTAAGAAAAATAATACTTATCATAATTCTTCCTTACTGTAGCTTAGATCTTTATCATCTATGGTGCTCCTATCTTCATTATGTTATTTGACCCCAAAGCACTTTGGCTTAAGTAAAGTAACTATTATCATCCCTATTTTATAAATTGAAAATTATAGCTCAGAAAGAGAAAATAATTTGCAGATTCCAGAATGAGAACCCAGTCTCTTAAATCTTACTTTAGAGCTTTTTTATATCACACTGCCTTCAAGAAAATTAAATAAGAACCATAAAAATATAAGACAACCAAAATAGTCTCAATTTTCTTTCATAGAAATATTGAATATTGGACTCAGCATTTGTATTTAAGGGACCTTTTAGATAAAGGTTCACCTGGAGACAGAAGGATGGACCAGTTGACCTTCTTTCAGCTTCCAGACCTTTGTATATCAGATAATAACCGAAGTGGTACTCTGACATAACAAAGATTTATTACATAAAGAAATGGCCAGAAATGGACGGAACACATAATAAAGGTATTCATTAAATTGAATTATGAAATGAACATAGTTTACTTGATAAATCAGAACAACAGAAGATTCAAGCTTACAACACTGGTATCTAACTTAGCAGGCATCATCTCAGATACGGCAACGATTTTAAAAAAACAAATTCAGTCTAAAAATTTAAAACAAAGGATGGGTGAAGATTTAACATATTTATATGTATATTAAATTACCCTGATGTTAGATGCTTGACCTTCTTTTAAAGATACAATTATTGCAATATCACAATTTATACTAACTATACAAATATTGCAAATCATAATTTATACTAACCACACAAATATCTCATTTGTATTTTTATTTTCTGTTTAACATTCTTTTAAAATGTTGATTATAAAATTAAATTCTGTAAGTTATGGTATGAGTTTACAATTCATTATTTTCTATATTAAACTGTATAACATACGTACTCTTAAAGGACCCTTTACTTGATCATCTTGCACCAACTGTGTTGTATTATCTTGTTTCAGGAGTACCTGAAAAATATTTTTGCACAATAATTTGCATGCTTCAGTTTAAACAATACATTCATGTTAACAAGGTAACAACCATGTCTTTAAGGGCCCTTTCTTAGTATCCTGTGGTTACCTCTGATTAGTACATTGTCTTATATTTATGCTTATTGTCCCTCTCATTAACTAGAGTTCCTTGTGAGCCAGAGTCTTCCTTTTATTACTAAATCCCCAGCGGTAGGCCAGTGTCAATGCATATTATAGGCATTTAATAACTTTGCCGAGTGAATGAACGATAGAAAATCTATAATCTATAATGATTACTTTATAACTTTAAAACTAACTTTAGTGCATTTTATCAATAAGTCATAAGTCATTAGAGATTCTGGTTGTTATCAAATATTTTCTTAAAAAAGTATCAAACTTTGGGGGGGGGAGCATGGGAGGAATGGAGGAACTTTAGGGTAGGGCAAAGGGGAGAGAGAGAGGAAGGGAGGGGATATGAGTGTAGGAAAGTTGGTGGATGGACACCATTACCCTAAGTACATGTATGAAGACACGAATGGTGTAACTCTACTTTGTGTACAGAGACATGAAAAATTGTGTTTTATATGTGTAGTATAAATTCAAATGCGTTCTGCTCTCATGTATATCAAATTAGAATAAATTTAATTTTTTTTAAAAAGGTATCAAACTTTACTGCCTACTTAAAACCAGAGGTCCTTAATCTGAACAATAATCATGAGCAAATTCAGTTACAAAATAGTTCCTTTCTAATTCTCCTTTCTCCCTTCCTCCAAAATCCTTTCCTCCCAAATATATAGGGTAACCATCCCAAATAAAGCAATCACACAAATGAGCAAATTCAAATTCTAGGTAATGTATATATGATAAAAACAATCCTAAAATTATCACTGTACTGATTGTCAGTAAATGAGAGCCACAGGAAAAAAAAAAAAAGTAAAAATAATCAGACTCTACCATAAATATTTAGTAACCGAATCTTATATGATTAAAAGGCTATTAAAACAAAGAAGAAATGAACACCAAACAATATCCTAACCATACTTACAGAAAAGTTTTAATGGCAGATCAAAATTTAAATAAAAAATTTATAAGAATCATGAAAAACTCTACCACACAAATCACATTTCTCCAGTTCAATGATTCTCAACATTTTACATGCACCAGAAACATTTGGAGTGCTTGTTAAAACACAATTACTGAACTTTACCCCCAGAGTTTCTGATTTGGAAACAAGTCGGAAAAGGGCCCAAGAATTTTCAGTGTGAACAAGTTCCCAGTAGAGGCTAATGCTGAATGTTTGGGAGCCACACTTTTCGAGTCACTGCTCCAGTTCATTCATTTATTCAACAAATTTTAAGAACCTGTTATGTATTAGGCCCTATTGTAGGTGTCAGGGATAGAACAAGTCAGATGTTTCCTCTTTTTGGTGCTTAATTCTGGTAGGAAAACATTAGATATGTAAATGAATAAAAGCAAATTGCAAACTACAGGTACAGCATGATCCAAGAATAACAATAATGAGAGGCACATTACAAAACCTAGAAGATCACATTGAATCTCTTTGGAATGTTATCACGGAGAACTTTCATGATATATTTTACAGCTCATGTATAATGTTAAAAATATTTTTATAAACAGGAACTTTTGCATTTAAATAACAAAGACTGACAGAAACTATACTTATAAAGGAAAAATTACTAGAAGGAAACAAAAATTGTCAACAGTGTTTCTGAAAAGTAAGCTATAAGTAATAATTCACCTGTATTTTCTGTATCTCCAAATATTATACAGTAATATATTAATCTAATTTTTTTTCTGGTCATAAAAACATCTTAAAAATCAACTTTTGATTCATTTTTAATGTTGTCTTGAAAACACAATTCCCACTGTACTGTTCTTTCTAATTACTCAAACAGTCTACCCAAACATTATGAAAGGGGAGAAAACAGATTATAATAAGCATGCTACTACAAACAGGAAAGATCCAAATAATAGGAGTATCATGAGCGTGGTATTTTGATAGAAGCATCTTGGAATAATTTCTCATTTGAAGTTATTTCTCAATTTTTAACATGTGCTTTTCCTATAAGCTTAGTGTATAACAGTGTTTTCACATATTATGGGTTCAATAAACAAAATATTTTCATTCTTCCCCTCTAGATAAAAAAACTCTAATCTTTTAATCCAGTTAATGAACCTGTTACATTAAAAAACATACACATATATGCATACATATATATTACCTTAACTTTCACCAGCCTTTTCACTGTTTTAATCTTTGCCTCACAGAAGGCACCTCGGTACTTGGCACTGACATCAGTTCCCACTGTCAGGTAGGCAGGCTCATCCGCCGCCTGATGAAAGGAACATAAAACTGTGAATGTCACTACTATTTTCCCTTACTCAGCCTAAGGCAGCATTAAAAAGTTCTGTGTTTAAAGCAATGAGAACATTAAACAGTATTTGCTTATTAATATCATTGATAATTTGAATACCCCCAAAACAAACATTTTATTAACAACATTTCATTTTATATACCAATTTCCTAATGTCATAAAATGTTTAAAAGTGTAATTAAAAAATATCAGAAAGGAAATTCAATAACGTTTATTCTCCACATACAAATGTCTTGTAAAAAAAAAAGCTAATATTTGCATAAGAAACATAAAAATAAGAGAAAACAAAAAACCTATCAAATGTCTCATAAAACTTATTCATGTATGGCCTCCCATAATTGTTTTCAAATTAAAAAGAAATATTTCTACTGAATCTAACACTAACAGTACATAATTAATTGGTTGATAGAGCTGTTTAAAGGCAACATTGTTTTAGATGTAGTATACCTACACAGATAAGAAGTCAACCTTTTTTGGAAAATTCATTGGCTAAAAGCTGTAACGGAAAGGTAAAGTCTGAATTCAGCTGATGAATGCATATATGACCTGATGGTTCAGGACTCCATCCATAACTAGTTTACTACACTGGTCTTCTTGGTATTTTTTTTTTTTTTAAAAAAAAAGCTTTACTAAGAAATATCTACTTTCATTTTATTTTAGGTCCTGGGGATTTAACTCAGGAGCACTTTACTACTGAGCCACATCCCTAGCACTTTTTATGTTTTATTTTGAAACAGGGTCTCACTAAGGACTTGCTAACCTGCTGAGGCTGGCTTTGAACTCACGATCCTCCTGCCTCAGATTCCCAAGTTGCTGGGATCACATGCATGTGCCGCCACCACCACCAGCTAGAAATATCTATTTTAGCAAATGGCCATGATCAGAATGATACTTTAAAAGGTGAGAAATTTCATTCCATCATTCATTTTAATCTCCAGAGTTACAGAATGATGCTATTTCAGTCTGTCATTTTACCTATTTCTTCAAAAGTTATGCATATTCATAAGTTCAATTCAACATCACTAGGTGCAAAGGTAACCATGTTTACTTTATTTATATATTTTTAAATAGAAAACAACTGTGCTCATTTTCCAGTAAGTTTTCCCAAGTAATATTAGAGAAGGTGAGATGTGTCACTTATTTCAAGAAAACAGGAAGATGAGAGAGTTCAGGAAAATGTTACCTTTTAGAGCTTAAGGTGCTAAAACTGTGAATAAGACATGGATCAGGTATAGACATAGATAAAGTCAAGGGCATTTACAAAGAATGCAAACTGGAGAATATGTGTGACAAATAAATATCTAACCAGAAACACAAATGTCTCCAGAAATTGCTATGAGATCTTCCTTTCCTTTTTAAACATCTATGTTTCCAAGATTAGGAGTCTTCAGAAGAATGTGCATGTGTGTATGTATTCAAGGACGGATATATGTTTTAAAATGTTTACTATAAAGACTAAACTGAAACTAAGTATTGTTTTGAGTTCAACCTCAAATACGGTAACAGTAGAAATCTGCTTTATCCACCAAGAAGAAAATGATATCTCTTTTACTCAATCCACATATTCTTTCTCTCAGAAAATCACATTGGGAGAAAAATCACACAAGAAAAAAAATATTTCCAAAAAATTCCCCAAAGAACCAAAGCAAGACAAAAGCTCTACTTCTGCAAAGGTTACTGCCAACACAGGAAGTGTTTAAAAATACTAGCCGAATGGACAACAATTGAAAGGCTGGCCCAGCCTTTCCAAAGTGCTAACTGCTACAGGAGAGCTGAACTGACTGCATTACAAATATTTCTCACCATTCACATGTTCCCATTTCCAAAAGTGCTGCTTAGTGGAGAAATCAATTTTAAGTAACAAAAAGATGACATTCCAAGGCACCAGCCTCACCACTGGCAGTGTCCAGGGCACGAGGTTCAGACGAGTTGATTCTACTTACCTTCATTTTTATTGGTGATCTGTGGGGTTCCAGCTCAACGAGTTATCTTCGCTGTCGCTAGAACCGTGGAGAGGGAAGACAGGCACAGAATCAGTCAACAGCGGGGAGCGACCCAGGAAAAGAAAGTAAACAAACGCCAGCGGGGAGGGGCAGAACCCTCAGCAGCCAAAGGAAAAGACCCCCTCGGAGGGCAGCCAGGACGCAGGAGCCGAGAGGGCAAAGAGAATCCCACCGGCGCCAAAGGGCAGCCTGGTCCACCCCGGAGCTCCGCAGCGGCCCACCGCGCCCCCGCCTCGCTGGTCACTTTGATCTGGAATGCTCAACTCCGAGCCCCTGGACTGATCGCCCTGGAAAAGGGCAGGGCACGATCTGGGCTTCCCCGGGTCTTCTAGACGGGCGACCGCCGAGCCTCCACTCAGCCGCCCCCCGGATACCCAGACTTCGTCCCGCGCCCCGCCTCCGCCGCTCGGCCCCCTCGGCCCGCCCCGGGCCCGCGGTGGCGGCAGCGGAGTGTCACGGCGCCATTGCTCTCCTTCCTTCGCTCTGCACCATGTCAGAAGGAGAAGCGCTCCTTCACCCGAAGGGGCAGGGGCGGCGGCCTGCTGCCCGGAGCCGCGAGCTCAAGGGGTGCCCAGCGCAGAGGAGGGGGCTGGGGGGCGGGGAGGAGGAGGGGAGGTGGCCCGGACAGGGTAGGGTGTGGGAGGGGAGGGGAGCCGCACAGCGGCAGCCGCCGCCTCCTCCCGCGCCCGCCTCAACTTTTTGTACAGCCCGGAGAGATACCAGCCACCCAGCCCCTAGCCCCCAGGGTCCTGCCATGGACTTCATAGAGAAGGACGCACCACGGAGTTGGGGGCCGACTCCCCCAAGCAGCCGGCTTCTCACCGCGCGGAAGCAAACTTAGCGGCGCGGCCAGCCCCACAGCCATTTTCCCGGGTAACCGGGGGAAGCGGCCGAGGAGGGGGCTGCCGCGGCGGTTCCTGCAGTTGCTGCCGCTATTCCCTGACTTGCCACTTCTCCTGCGCTCGCTGCACCGCTTGCCTAGCATCTTCCTCCCTTCCTCCAAAGCTTCCAACTGCACCGGGACCCCGCGCAGCAGCACCAGCTGCTACTGCCGCTTAGACCATTCAGTATACCCGCTTCCCTTCTCCCCACCTACCTACTGAGGGTGAAGTGCGAGCTGTCAGCTCTCGAGTCCTCCACCCCACTGATCGCCGTGGGCCCCCGTCCGGGAAACACCACTCCGGGCCGCGGCGGCAGTTCCTGCGCCGGATTCCCCACTCGCCCCGATTTACTGCCACAATCCACCAAATAACAAGCTGTTGAGCAGACTCTCTTCTACACGAACTCCTATTGGCTGCCCATGACGCCGAAGAGCTTTGGATTGGAGCTCGTTACCTGCCGTTCTCATTGGATGTAGATGTGAAACTTCACGGATTGGTGGGAAAAACAGCAGGTAGGATATCTTCCACTTATGATTGGCTGTCTTCGAAGCCCAACCTTATTGGAGAATCAGGGATTGAGTAAGCAAGTCCTGAGAAATGATTGGGAGAGACGACTCCGGATGTGCTTGACTGAGCACTGATTGGTGCATTGAGGGGTCAGGAAGAGCAGTTCCACACGAGGATTGGCGGTGGAGTGTCCCATGGAAACGGAACCCAGAACAGCAGCCAGGAGCTTGCACGGGGGCGGGGCAGGGTGTTTCCAAGGCGCCTGCGCTAAACCAGCTTCTCGGCGCCATTTTGTCCCGGCAGCAGTGGTCGCAGCTCTATCGCATTTTATGTTCCTGGCTGGAGGAAGCGGAGTTTTCAGCCGGTAGATTTATTTTAATGTGGCGCGCATTCAGCGTTCCCTCCGGGACAGCACTCAATGAAGACCGGTGGAGTCTCAGAGCTTTTGAAAAGGTGAGTTGGAGGCTATGGTTGTCCGAATGACTAGGGGATGGCGCAGCTTTAGCGGCACCGGCACCGGAAGTGAAGGGGCCGCAGGCGGCCATGGTTATAGTAAGTTTCCCCGCCGTGGGGTGGAGTGTGGGGGCGGGGTGTAAGGGGGCGAGGCTTCCTCTCCCTCCGAGGAAAGAGAAAGGCTGAGGAGGCTGACTCGTGGTCCTGGGAGGTAATCCTGTGGTCCCTACTCAAGGGAATGAGCGGTGTTCTGGATTCTGCTTTTCTCCGAGCAGTTTTTCCTCCCTTTGGAAGTGCGTTTCAGGGACTTGTCATATTTTTCACCAGAGTAGTTACCGCCGTAGGGGTGTCCTTGTTAACACAGGGAGGATATGGTTCTTTGAAACCTCTTGCGTTGGGGGAGGTGTTTTCCTCCTACCCCTCCCGTACGAAGCTTGGAGGAAGCTAGCAGGTTCTGGCATTTAGAATGCCAAGGAATTTACTTGCTGGTTCAGAGGCTGCTACTGTGACCTTAGTCAAGATGAGTGTCACTGTGCTCGTCGAGGCTACTTTGTGTAAGAGACTAGCAATACCTCTGCAACTGAAAATACCTTTGTTGAAAGGACTTCCCCTATGGTACCTGCATGGAGCTGTTAGCAACACTTTGTCTGTTAAAGCAGTCAAGAACTGACATATTCTAAATAGTGCATCTGGGTTATTGACACTTATAAAGAATGTAATATCTTTGACAGTCAACACCGACTAAATTTGCACAAGAGGACATTTTAACGTAGAATTGATTTTTTACCAAGTTGATTTTTCTCAAAATTGTTCATTAAAAATGTGAAACATGTCTGTATTTCAGTGAGTGACCTAGTCATACTTAACTGAATAGATGCTTATACTTATGTGGGCCTCAAGACTAGAGAACAGTTGAGTGATTTAACAACTCTTTGGGGTTTTTTGTTTACTTTTTCTTTTTGGCAGTTGGTTGAAGACAACATATCAGTGGCAAACAGCTCAAGTATGATAGAGGTGAGTTCTAATATCTGTAAGACTCTACAATTGAGTGGACCACCAGGAAACGTTTTCTGTGGACTGGCAAATAAATACTAGAATGCAAGAATGGTAGTTGAAAGAGGTTTTATTTGGTCACCGGTTCAAATAAGTCTGCTTAATTAGCTTCAGATGTGATGTTTGAAATCCCCAAATTAGGACATCCTCAGAATTGTTTACCTATTCATGTAGTTCTTATTTCTGGACTTCAGAGCGCTTCATGTTTTTATGAAGGAACACTGTATATTTTTATAACCCCTCCCCCCATTTAAAAATTTCTTTATACAGAGATCTTATCAATAAGCAAGTTTAAGAGTGAGGTGATTTTGTTTAAAAGGTAATTATAAAACAGTAGAATAATATCAAATTTCCCAGGGGGCATTCACACATAGTTAATATTACCAACTTTATAGAGTTATTATTTTATATAAATATGCACTGCGCGTCAGTGATCTTTTGGAAATTACTGAAAAACCCAAAGAAGATAAAAATTTCTTGTATTTCTTTTTTTTAATATTTATTTTTTAGAAGTAGTTGAACACAATATCTTTATTTATTCATTTATATGTGGTGCTGAGGATCGAACCCAGGGCCTCCCATGTGCTAGATGAGCGCTCTACCGCTGAGCCACAACCCCAACCCCCAAAATTTCTTCTATTTTTTCTACCCAATGATAGTAATTACAGTTCATACTGTGCAGAGAGTTATTTTGATGGTTTAAAATATCATTCTAGGGCTGGGGTTGTGGCTCAGCACTTGTCTAACATATGCAAGGCCCTGGGTTTGATCCTCAGCACCACATAAAAGTAAATAAATAAAATAAAGGTATTGTGTCCAATTACAAATAAAATAAAATATATATATGTGCATATATATATATATATATATATATATATATATATATATCATTGTACTTATTTTTTACCCACTGGGAACATCAGAAATAATTTATCCATAAAGCATCTTTCATGGCCTCATAGTGTTAGATAGGACAGATGTACCATAATTTATATGACCTGTTTTGTTTACTTTTCTATAATAGCACTAATATGTCAGTGAATATCCTTGTACATATCAGTGACTAAAATTTCTAGGCATGTAGATCTTCTAGCATACCCCTAATTATTTTTTTGTAATAAATTCCCAGAAGTGGAAATATAAGGCCAAAAGAATTATACATTTGAGGGTTTGGATACATGTACAATTGTCCATAAGAAAGCTCTCTTGCCTTATGATTTTATTTGTTGTCCTTTTTTTTTAATTGAAACCTTCCACCCAGTTTTCTGTTTATTCTTTATTTCTGAGATCTGTTACTCAAATAGAATTATTACAGTTTTCTTTTTTTTTCCCCTCAAGGATTTAATACTCAAGTCAGTTGGGTATTCTTTGTGCTTCCATGCAGCCTTCCCTAAAGTTTCTCATATTTACATATACATTCCCTTAGTGCTATTGTAGCCTTATAGGACCCTTTACATGCCTTTCACCTCACTTTCTTTGCAATTATTTGCCTCTTCTCCGGTTTAAGAATGTTCCCAAAAGGCAGCAACTGTTTTTAATTACCAATATGTTCCTCCTCCTGGTACATTGTAAGATATTGAATCTGTATGCACAATTGTATACAAAATGTGAGAAATAATAAGCTAACATAACATTTTTAATAGTACTTTTGAAAATTAATGATGTTCTATAGATGCCAGGGTAGCCTTCAAATTTTTTAATGTTCCAAATACTTAATTTTCAATTGATTTGTAGTTATTAATAAAATACATATTTACAGAACCCATTAATAATGTATCAATATAATTTTCTTAAGACTTTATTCATCAATTCTTTAAGGATTTTAAATCTTAATAGAAGGCAACTGCAGATAAATATTAACTGAAGAGTTACTAGACAATATTTTTCATAGACATAAATGAAGGAAATTATAAAATTGCACATATTTATTTTTAAATTATAGTTGGACACAATACCTTTATTTTATTTATTTATTTTTATGTGGTGCTTAGGATCGAACCCAGGGCCTTGTACATTTTAGGTCGGTGCTCTAGTGCTGAGCCACAACCCCAGCCTAAGTTGCACATCTTTATAACTTAGTGAACTTGACTAATGAGAGTAATACTTCATACAGAATCAAAATGTCAAATTATTAGTGATGTTTCAGTGATATAAAACTATTTTTGAAAGAATGTTTTATGTATGGATTCAAATGAAGGTATATAATTAGTGCCCTATGAGGTATTTTTTACTAAAATCTAAGGACATCCTTGTATTTGTTTAACCATTCATGTCATTCCTGATTCTGATTTTTTTTTTTTTTTTTGAGGCAGGGACTTGCCATGCTTCCTAGACTGGCTTCAAACTCCTGGGTTCAGATTTTCCTCTTGCCTCAGACTGTTGGGTAGCTGGGACTACAGGTATGCACCACCAGGACTGGCTTCCATTTTTGAATTTTTAAGTAATACTTAATATTTTTATCAAAGAACACCATGAGCATATTCATGGGGTCCCTCTTTCTTTCTAAAAACTTGAAAAGAAAATTTGACCAGTGAGAGTTCAGCATCAAGATATTTTTTTTAATAATAGTGTGTATTCTAAATGTCTAAGCTATAACATAACTCAAAATTAAAAGAAGTCTTTGTCTTTCAGAACAAAATTAAAAGAAGTCTTTGTCTTTCAGAATAAGACTGATTTTTCTGGGGAAATGAAGCTATGTATCCCAGTTTTGAAAGACTTGAATCTTCTGTGTCTTGAAAAATCCCATTTCTGGTGTGTAATTTTAGTTTATCTTTAAATAATCAAGGTTGGCCCTGTGTGTGTGTAAAAAATAATAGAATTTATTCCATTGTGCAGTTATTTCTGGAAATATCAGTATATGTTCAGAATAGAACTGATTGCTAAGTTGAGTAGAACTGATTCCTAGACTTATTTTTGAGAAATTACATAATTTGCTTATAATCAAAGCCTACATTTTAATCTATATTGTCTTTTGCTCTATCTAATCAGCTCTAAAATCAGCTCACTGATGATTTTATGGCCACATGGAGTCATAGATAATGATGTTTTTCTACATATAATTAAAAATAGAATAACAGCATACTTAGGATTTGGATTTATGCAGATCTGGTTACTAAATGGCTTTTCTACAAGGATCTGTGCTTGAGAAACTTACTGTCAATAAAAGAGAACATAATTAAACATGAAAAGTTAGTCTAAATACATGCTTCAAAAGATTTAAGAAAATTAGATCTTTATTTAAAGATTTAAGTAATAATAAAGTTCTCTATACAATCAAGGAGATCTAGAAATTTTTAAGAAACATTGCTTTAAGAAAGAGCAGAGGAGCTGGGGATATACATATATATACATGTGTATGTAAGAGTGTGTGTGTGTGTGTGTAGGTATTAGAAAGAAAGAAGACTTTATAATTGGATGGAAGGTTGTGAGCAAGAATGTGATTATATAAGAAAAGATGTATTTTGGGCAGTTGGTAAACCAGTTAGGTAAAGATCTTGTAGCAATACATATAGAGGTATCAAGAAAGATTTACTAGCCGGGCGCACTATCACACACCTGTAATCCCACTGCCTCGGGAGGCTTAAACAGGAGGATCACATGTTCAAAGCCAGCCTCAGTAACCACAAAGCACTAAGCAGCTCAGTGAGACCCTCTCTAAATAAAATACAAAATAGGGCTCAGGATGTGGCTCAGTGGTTGAGTGCCCTTGAGTTCAATCTCTGGTACACCCCGACCCCCCAAGAAAAGAAAGATTTACTAGCTGGGCACAGTGGCATGTGCCTCTGGAGGCTGAGGCAGGAAGATCACAAGTTCAAAGCCAGCCTCAGCAAAATCAAGGTACTAAGCAACTCAAGTGAGATCCTGTCTCTAATAAATAAAATAAAAAATGGGGCTGGGATGTAGCTCTGTGGTAGAATGGTAGTGTTCAATACCCGGTAACATTCCCCACCCCCCAAAAAGCTTTACTTAAAAAGAATTTGAACATGTAAAGATCCTTGTGGTTGGAATACTATCCAAAAAAAAAAAAAAAGAGAGAGAGAGAAAAGGGAAATGATCTTAAAAAGAAGGGGGGGGGGGGGGAATGCAACATGTTTTTCACCTATTAAGAAAAATACTCATTACAGACTACTCAATACCAGTAACTAAACTCACATGGAGGGTGATAGTGTAAATTAGTGGTTAAGTGACCCTGGGTTCAATCCCCAGTACCAAAAAAAAAAAAAAAAAAAAGTCAGAACAAGTGAAGAGTTAACTTTTGTGCACACCTGTAGTCCTAGTGGCTTGGAAAGCTGAAGCAAGAGGATCACAAATTCAAAGCCAGCTTCAGCAACTTAGCGAGACCTTGTCTCAAAATAAAAAGAACTGGGGATTTGGTCTGGTTTGATCACCCCTGGGTTCAGTCCCTTGTATCAAAAATTTTACAGAGTTAACTTTTAAGTATTCCTCGAGAAAGAGCTTAGTTTCACCAGTTAACCTCTTTTGATTCTTCTACCACCTATTCCCCTTCTGCTCCCAACACACACACATACACACACACACTTGCACAATCACATGCAAACCCTTCCTTTGCCTGTTATTCTAAGACCTTAAAAAAAAAGTGTGTGTTATTTCTTTTTTTTTCCCCTGTGATATATCAAGAGAAAAGTTCTGATTTTATTTCAGGAAAAAGCAAGTCTTCTAAATGATTAGTTAGGTATAGGTAAATCACAATGTTAAATTATTTTTTTCCTTTTTGATTCCACTTTATAGTTACCTGACAGGATTTAGGTTTTTCCTATCCCTGTAAGAATAATAGCTGTAAAAATATTTCAGGAAGGGCTGGGATTGTGGCTCAGGAGTACTGGGCTCGCTACTACCATATAAATAAAAGATACTGTGTTCCACTACAACTAAAAAATAATATATTAAAAAAATCCTTCAGGGCGGGCTACAGATGTGCCTCAGTGGAAGAGCATTTGCCTGGCATGTGTGAGGCCCTGGTTTTGATCTCCAGCACCAAAAAAAAAAACCATTCTGTGGCACATTCCTGTAATCCCAGCAACTTGGAAGACTAAAGCAGGATGATAATAATTTCCAGACCAGCCTGGGCAATTTAGCAAGTCCCTATCTCAAAATTTCAAATTTAAAAAAAATTGGACTGGGGATGTATCTCAGTGATAAAGCACTCCTGAGTTCAATCCCCAATACAAAACAACAACAACAAAAATACAAAAAAACATTCAGGGAGCTGGGGCTATAGATAAGTGGCAGAGTGCTTGCCTAGCATGTGTGAGGCACTGGTTTAAGCCTCAGCACCACATAAAAATTAATAAACAAAGAGAGTCTATGTCCCCTTTACAACTAAAAAAATATTTTAAAATATTTCAGGAATAGCAAAGAAATACTTCTAGGTTTAGTATGTGAAGATGTAGCCAGGGAATTTAGTGGTTTAGGATATATTTCTCTTATTTTCTACCCCATCAATAAGAGAATTCATCTGACAAGGTTGGGATTAGAATTACATTAATACATGTGAAGTGCTATTAGAATGATACCAAGTTTTTAGGAAGTACTTATGAATCAGGTGGTCTTAATGTGAATATTATTACATGAGTGTTATCCCAGGAGAGTTTAAATTATTATGTTATCATATTTATTATAGAGATAAAGCAGCTAGACGACTCTCTTATGTTATAGACCCTCTTCAAGGTCATAACAACCTTTCTTCAATGTTATTTCCTATTTCTTCCCTTCAAAAATCATATGCCGGGCTGGGGATGTGGCTCAAGCGGTAGCGTGCTTGCCTGGCATGCGCGCTGCGCTGGATTCAATCCTCAGCACCACATACAAATAAAGATGTGTCCGCCGAAAACTAAAAAATAAATATTAAGAAATTCTCTCTTTCTTTCTTAAAAAAAAAAAAAATCATATGCAACAGTCACTCTCCACTGTCATTTTCCCCTCTACAAGCCTCATGCTTTTCCTGTTCCTTTTTCTGTTTTCGGTAATAGTCCAGCCTCCTAGAATGTTGCCTTATCTCTGCATATTCAAATACATTTTACGTAAAGCTTCCTTGATAGCACTATAGGTGTAGTTACAAGTAATATCACCATGTTTTCTCCTACATAATTCCTGCCACTTTCTGTATTGCATTTTAGCTTTTTCATTTATTTATATGTCCTTCACTTTGTCATGAAATCTTTATAGATAGAGAGCATATACCTTGTTCACCTTTGTAAGTTTAGGAGCCATCATAGGCCTTGGCGTTTGTGGGTACTTATTTGTAGAATGAAATGTTATAAAATGTATAGCAAGCAAAAGATGGCATTTAATAGACAAATGTATGTCATTAAAGATGTGCTTTTTCAGTATTTGTACATCTAAGAACCCCTTAATCAGTGCCTTAAAATTAGAGCACTTAAAGTTTTGGGAATTGAATTGGGCTCAAGAGCCTATGGAGGGGTAATAGCACTATGGGAACTATGCACAAATTAGGAATTTTCATTAGAATATTTTCTTTCAGAAAAGTTTGGCAAGGACTAACTTGCCAGTAACTAGGCCACCTGGATCAATAAGTTTTTGAACTCATAATTTTACCATGTAAGTACTTTTTAAAAACCACAATACCATAATCCATGACACTTGAAATGAGAATAGGAATTGGATGAGATATTCTTGAGTATGTTTATTTTATCCTTAGTTGCTGTGATACTGATAAGGGTTTGGGCCTTTAAGATTTACAAGAAATGAGAATTATGGAAATTAGGGAGATAAATTGAAATATCAGAGCCATATCATACATCTAAAGAAGCAGTTCTTAGAATTTTTATAATAACTTAGTAGGACATTGAATTAAAGGAGCATCATAATATAGTAACACTGGCTTTGAAAAACAGATGTTATGTTGTAATTATAAGCCTGTTGGTTTTACTCGTTACTGTGACCTCTGAGATAGTCACTGCATGAATTTTTGCTTTTAGAGAATAAACTTCATGGGCTAGGTATTTATAACTCTTAATGTTTGAAATTTGTAATCCAGCACCACATTTTTCAAATAGGAATTACATTGTGTACTTCTCATACCCAAATCAGAAGTATCAGGCACTGACTTGATAATTTTAGCATTTAAGGAAGTAGTTGATGTTCATATTACATAGAATCATATTCTGACAAGTTTTAATGGCCCTCCTTATTTTCAAGGATTTTTTTGTTTTTTTTTTTTCCCCCTCACTGGGAATCAAACCCAAGGCCATGAACATGCTAAACAAGCACTTTACACTGAGTTCTGTCTCTAACCCATTTATTAAGAGTTTTGTTTTCATTGGACATTAAAGTAAATTTCAAATAATATCTAAGCATGACTACCAACTAATTTCATTACAGTGAAGCTTCTGTTTTCTATATTGTTCAGTGTACTTAAATCAGTTACAGGAGAAAATATTTATTTATTTGGTAGTGATTGAATCCAGGACCCCAAGCATGCTAAGCAAGTACTCTACTGCTAAAGTACATCCTCGTTCCACTCCCTTTTTTAAAAATTTTGAGTTAGGATTTCAAAAAGTTGTTCTCAAAACTTGAGGTTGTCCTGCCTCGGCTTCCTAAGTAGCTGGAATTATAGGCCTGTGTCACAATTCCCAGTTCCTCTTATTTATTAATATGTTATCTGTTATATTAATACATGACTTATTAATACATAATCACACATTTCCTGACTGCCTGTGGATCTCATCTTGCTTTTGCCAGGGAGGAAGGAAAGGATAGATGATGATATTTGTTTAGGACTTTAGGCCTTTTAGTGTACTGTACTGCTCTTTAGGAGTGATAGTTTAAAAATTAAGATACAAGTTAATTGGTATTGAAAAGTCCTCTAGTTATTTCCACAGCTTTAAAGTAGGGCATGAATAAGTCATGGAGGAAGGGGTTTTTGTTTTTGTTTTTGGCTGGTGGTATGTTTGATAATATGTTATTGACTCTGCTGATCCTAACAGACCACTTAGGGGTTTATATTTATTCACATGCAGGGTTACCTCAAATGCTACAGCAAGCAAGAAAAAAAATCTCACTTTGCCCCATTGGTTCCCTCAAACTAAACTAAAATTCTTACTGATTCTCAAAACAAATCCGTTTCTAAATTTTTATATGCCACCATATCGCTGTTTGCAGTGTTTGTATAGTTTTGGTGGCTTATATCTTAGTCAGAAGGAACCGGGAAAGGGATTTTCATACAAGGAAATATAGCCAAACAAAAGGCCCTTTTGCGGTTTCTTATTTCTCTATTTATCATGTGATACTGCTTTTAAGGCCTTAAAATTACGTATGCTACCGCAAACTTTGCTGTTTTCCACCCAGTTTTGAACTTCTGCATTTTTATTACATAGTCATGAAGAACTAGGCTGTTCCCAGTAAATATTAAAGTTGCAGAACTTGCTTCTCTGCTGCTGGGTACTTCCTGTTTTGTCAGATTTCCATTTAGGGAAAAGAATAGATTTTAAAGTAGGCTAGTTTGAGTTTCATGTTTAAAGCGTCTCCTGAAATTCACTTTGGAAGCCATCCAAATATCGAGAGGGGGAGGAAAATGGCACGTCATGTCTCCACATAAAGTCATTTGTCAGAAAGCTGCATTTGGCTTTGTATCATGAGAGAGAGGATTGCCAGGAAGGAAGAGAAACTGCTTGCTGTCAGAAATTTTTAGTGTATGACTTGCCAGTATTATGGCTTGCCCTTCAGCTTTCTGTGTCAAACATGTTTGTGTTTGTGAATGAATTATGTCACCTCTGAAGGAACGGTCTGTGTTCATTTCTAATAGACCTTTTTTTTTTTTTTTAAGATTGATGTGATTTTTTTATACCTTTATTTAATTTATTTATTTTTATGTGGTGCTAAGGATCGAACCCAGCACCTCGCACAAGCTAGGCGAGCACTCTACCACTAAGCCACAGCCTCAGCCCCTCTAATAGAATTTATTCTAGAAATATAGAAGAATTGCATTCAGTTTATTCCAAATAACAGTGGGAACAGTTAAAATTCAAATGTTAGAATAGAAATGTATCACTACATTGTGAGTGTGTGGAATATATTGTACAAAAGTTGCAGTAATACCATTTTAAGAATCTTGCACAGTGGCACATACTATAATTGCAACTTCTTGGGAGGCTGAAGCAAGAGGATCAAAAGTTAGAAGTTAGTCTTGGGCACCTTAGTGAGACCCTGTCTCGAAATTTAAAAGAGCTGAGGATAGTTTAATGGTAGAATGCTTGCCTAGCTTGTGTGAGGCCCTGGGTTCAGTCCCTAGTACTGAAGAGGGGTTGGTACAGGGAATCTTTTGTAACTAAAGTAATGAATAAATAGAACATGAGTTAGAAATAATGAATTAGTGTTGCTTTTTCAGTCCTGTGAAGTGAACTAATAGTTAATAAAATATGTCAAAGCATGCTTTCACTATAAACCTCTACCTTGCAGGTAAGGGAATCTTGCTATACTGTGGTCGAACCAAGTTCTTATTTTACCAAATTGATACTTCTCTTCCTTGACCTATCAGTAAAATGAGATGCTTTTTACATTCACAGACAAATGCACAGAGCATTTTCTACTGGACATGCTTCTCACAGAGGAAAGAAAACTAATATTCACCAAGATAATGCTTCCCTCCACCTTCTGGTTTCATGAAAAATTAAGCCACTTCCTTCTTTTGAAAAAAAGGAAAGAATTAAATTCAAATGTTAGTAAAACTAATTCTTCTCAAAGGTTGTATTCTAAATAAAGATTGCTACTGCTTTGAGTAAAAGCTTAAAACTGTAAAGTTAACAAAAAATAAAAATAAGAGATGGTTTTTAATCTCTGACCATTAAATGAACAATTATACAGTTCCTGATTGGGGGCCCTGAACTCTTCATCCACCTATATGTTGGAAATAATTCTCCTAACACCTTTGTGTTGCTCTTTTTGAAAGTTGATGTTGAGGGGCTGGGGATGTGGTTCAAGCAGTAGCGCGCTTGCCTGGCATGCGTGCGGCCCAGGTTCGATCCTCAGCACCACATACAAACAAAAGATGTTGTGTCCGCCGAAAACTAAAAAATAAATGTTAAAATTCTCTCTCTAAAAAAAAAAATTTAAAAAAAAGTTGATGTTGAGTTTAAAATATGTGAAACCATCTGCTGTTAATTTCCCCTTTTTCACCTAGTTATATACTGTTCTTGGGTACAGGTGATTGAACTTAGGGGCACTCAGCCACTGAGTCACATCTCCAGCACTATTCTGTATTTTATCTAGAGACAGGGTCTCACTGCTTAGTGCCTCCCTTTTGCTGGGGCTGGCTTTGAACTCGAGATCCTCCTGTGTCAGCCTCCTGAACCGATGGGATTACAGGTGTGTGCCACCACACCCAGCAAGCTGTATATTTTTATAACATTTCTCATAAAATCAAAATGAGTTTTCTTAAATACCTCTTGCCCCTATTGCTTCATTCTGCTGTTTAGCCTTATGACAGAAGTAAAATCTCTTTTTGAATTTTTTCAAGTTGTAGATAGCCACAATACCTTTATTTTATTTATTTTACATCGTGCTGAGGATTAAACCCAGTGCCTCCCATGTGCTAGGTGAGCACTCCACCACTGAGCCACAGTCTCAGCCCAGAAGTATAATCTCGTAAATACTTTGAAGTATCTTTTCTGTTTCTTTTCTTGCCCCATGAAAAACTGATATTTTTCTGATCCTTGCAAGTTTTGCCTTTTCCAAAATATCACAGTTGTAATTAAGCAGTATGTATGAGTCATACAGCCTTAATTTCCATTTCAAGTATACACCTGTCAGTAGGAACAGTGAGTTATGTGTTAAGTGTTAAACTTCATAAGAAATTGGCGAACTGTTTTCAAATGCAGCCATACCATTTTACTTTACAGCAGCAATGACCATTCCTGTTAATCCACATCCTCACCAGTACTTGGTGATTTGTCTTTAATTGTACACTATCTAAAGCTGAGTGATAACACATTGTAATTTTAATATGTATTTCTCTTAATAGTGAAAAGCATCTTTTCACATAGGTATTTGCCATCAATGTATCTTGTTTAGTGAATTGCCTGACTCTTTTGTCCATTTTTTTACAATTAGGGTATTTCATGTTTTGAAAGTTCTGTGTATCTGCTGTGCACAAGTCCTTTGTTAGATGATTTGCAAGTATTTTTCCTCAGTTTTTCCTATTTTGTCATTCTTAAAACGTTTTATTGTGTAACTTTAATGGATTTAATGAATGATTCTTTCTTAAAACCAATAAGAGATCTTTGTATATTTTTTTGGAATTATCCTGTGGATAGGTGTCCCAGTATTCTAGCATCATTTGTTGAAAAATCATTCCTTTCTCCACTGATTTGCCTTTTCACTCAGTTGATCATATTTGAAATCTGATTTTGAACTCCATTGTGTCCCATTAACATTGTGTCTGGAGCATTAGAGTTAAGTCTGGATTTTTGTTTTTGTTTCTTTGGTGTGTTAAAAGATCAAACCAGAATCTCACACATACTAGGCAAACACCACTTAGCTGCATCCCCTAATAGTAAGTTTTGAAGCCAGGTAGTTTCTCTGCGTGTTCTTTTTCTATACTATTTTGTCTTTTCAAATTGCTTTTCTTATAAAAATTTTAGAAACAGCTTATTAATTTTACCCTTCCTGCTCTCTGTGCCTCTTAAGATTAGGTTTACATTGAATTTATAAATCCCTTTGCAAATTGATGTTTTAACCATACTCGGTCTTCTGATCACTTCTAATTCTTTTTAAGTTTAAATTTCTATCTTTACTTTTTTGTTGCTTTTTTAAATGGTGCATAAATCCTCACTGTATAGATGAAATTTAGTAATTCTCCAAAATCGCAATTATTAAAAATGACAAAGCCAGCCAGATTGAAACCTGTATCAATTTATAAACTATATCCTAGGTTTAATTATAATGCTATCTTTCTTAATTTGTTTACACTGAAGTAGGCTAGAAGCCCCCAGCTTCTTTTGTCAAGAAAAATCCCATTACTGTGCTTCAGTATAAGAATTGATCCTACAAATGTTACATATTTCTGAGCTTCAGTTTTCCAGAAATTCAGATAAATCACTGACATTTTTGAGCCAGTATTTTTAAAATATTATACCTTACTTTGTACTTTACTACTAGGAATTATTTCTGTAAGATGTGTACCGGGAGAGGGAAGAGGGCAGGGAAAGTGGAAATACAGGGTTGAAATGGAGCAAATTTTAAGTCCATCGCCTTAACCACTCGGCCACGACTACCCGGGAGCAAATTTTATTACATGCATGTATGACTATGTCTAAATGAACCCCTACTATTACACCTAACTAACCATTTTTTAAAAGACATGTGCCTTGAGCATTTGGATGCCTGACTCCTTGTTCACCAGATAAAAAGTAGGAAGTGTGTTTTTTTTTTTTTTTTGGTTGTTTTAAATAACTTCTTGTAAAATGTAGGTCAAGTACCTATAGTCTGGGGGGCTATACACTTATTTCATTAAAGACATTGTAGATTTATACAAACAGTCTCAGTGGTAGAACCAAAGTTTTATTTAGGGTTAGGAGCAACTGCACTGTTATTCTTGGGTTTTTAAAAACCTGACATTTAAATAAGAAACATGTAAAGAGGGTTTTTGGCAAGGGTGAATTCTAACTATCATTTTTGAAGGCAGTTTGGTGGGAGCCATTAGGAAAGACCTGTCAAGAAATAGCCTAGGCACATAGTATGGATATAGGAAAGTAAAATCTAGGTCAAGTCTGGATTGCATTTCCAAAGGTAAGAAATTTAAAAATTAGAGAAACATTAGGAGTTAATATTATACATAAACACAGTTTCATTTAAGGATTTCTTCTGGTTTCTTAGTATTTTGAAATGTTGATATTTTTATAAAATGGAAACACTATAATTTTAATTTGCTGCTTACCTTGTGAAATTTATTCCAATGTTTCCATCATATTAATAACCTGTGACTTCATTTTTTAGGTCCCTTTAGGAGTGACAGAAATAAAAACCAATGGATCATCTCATCAGATAAGTTATTTTACATTCTAAATATATTATGTTGGAAACTCTAAACTAGAACTTTGTTCTTTAAAAATTATGTTTTGTTTTTGTTTTTTAAGGTACCAGTATCAAGATGATTTACAGCAATAAGGTATTCAGTCTTAAACATTGTATTCATGTCAAAGTAAAACATATCAGCTTTTTTTCCTGGAGGCTTGCCATTTCTCAATGATATGATTACAGAATGGCCCTACAATTAAACCTACATTAATAATGAAAATCTCTCATTTTTCTTTCATAATAGATATCAAATTAGGTATATGTTGTATATGTTTTAAGTTTAGATTAATCCAGTATCACGGTAAATTTATATTTCTCTAGTACCAGTGTCTTCTCTTATAGAGGGTTATTAGCTGTACTGATAGGAATTTAAGAACAGTTAAGCCCACAGCATAGTAAGTGAAGTTTTAGGACTCGCCCTAGTTGACTGAGGGAGAGTCAATTTCTGTCTGAAAATAGATCCAGTTTAGTATTATTTGGGCATTTGTCCAAAGCCAACACTTATCACTCTCTGCTAAGAATGATTTGTAAAATATAGCAGGTAATCTCATACTATGGAATTCATGGTAAGATGCTCAAAGCCCAGCAATACCCTGCAGCTAAACTCTCAGTGACTAGATTACCTTCTTAGGAAAGCAGTAACAGTTGAATGGAGTGATGCTGGCATGAACTCAATTTAGGGTGTGTATACTTGGCCTGAGTTCAGATTGTTCCTGCTCTGAGTAGTGCTGTTCAGGGCACATTTGTAATTCTTCAGGCCACAGTTCTGATTTTTGTAAAGACAGAAAGTGACCTAACATAAATCCTTAACTTACCACAATAAAAGGAAAAAAGCAAAAATATTTTTTTGACTTCTCAGATAGTGTCTTTCTAAAAAACTGAAAACATCTTTCTTACACCTAAAAAGTCAAAACTGGCTGATGACCAGTATAAAAGAACCAAACAGACTGAATTCATCTTATTCCAAAGACTCATTTTACAGTATTCTAAGGAATTTTAGTAGTAGGCGTAAGTCTGTATTTTAACAATAAGCAAATGTAATGAATGTCATTGATCATTTCTCCAATTATGTCAAGTAGATATTAACCAAACTTCAGTGGCTACAAGTCAAAAATTTAATGAAAACTGGTCAGGGGCTAAAGTTACATGGAACTGTTATAGAAATTTATAACAGAATAGATGCTGAAGTAAATGTTACATATTATCATCATCTGATTCATCCTCTTCCTTCAAAGATTCCTGTTAAGAGAAAAATGGTATTTATATTTGATTAATATCATTATGTCCCACTTATTAGCACTCATTGAAAATTTATGTAGAAAATTTAAAAATGAAAAACGAATACTTCTTTAGAATATATACAACTGAAAAGCATTTTGTGTCCTGAAAACCCTGTCTACTTTTAACCCCCCCAAAAAACTTTGGAACCAGAGTGCAACTTTATTTCCACTGGAGCTAACCTAGAAAATGTCTACCCTTGGTTCAACTCTTCAGTATTTAATAGGCAAGTTCCTTTATCATCAATACATGATTTTAATTAGTAAAGTTTTTAATGCTGAAGCTCACCTTAGCATATTTCTCTGCTTCTTCCCTTATATCTTTTGGAACAATTTCATGTCTTCCTTTAGTTACTGTAAATTAAGGCATATATTTAGTTGAATTAAAAATGAGTATACTGATTTAGGTAGTATGATTGTTCACCTAAGGTTGTGATACTGTACTATGAATAATAAACAAGATACTTTGTACTAACTTTTGTGTGTTTCTTTCATGTGTGTCTAAATGTGCCCAAGTTAAATTATTGAAAATTATGATTTATAAATCCTGAGAATTAATTTACAGCACGATTAGATTCTGAAAATAGCCTATCCTTTAAGCCCTATGCTAGGTAGAAAAAAAATGGGTGATTTCTCAGTAATACATGAAACAGATATTTCAAAACAATGAACTGTTCACAACTTTAGTCAATTATAAGAAGAATTTTTCCTTTGATTAACTAACAATCTGTTAATTCTGTTTTGGATTTCTTTATATTAAAAAGAGAAATTAAGTACACTATAAGTGTGTCCTAGAATAAGTAAATGTCTAAAAGTAACTTACGTTCACCAACCCAGCTGAGCTCTAGTTCAAAAGCTTTATCTTTAACTTCATCATGTACTATGTAAATTCTAGAACAGAAAAGGAGAAATTAGCAATTGGTCACCTCCAAACATCTAAGTTCAGGTACCCAATCAGTACAAATTAGAATGCCCATCTCTATTTACAAAATTATATATTCTTCCTGTAGTCTATTATCATGTACATTAGAAAAGAGAAATTACACAGTTATTGAGATAAAATGAATCCCTTGCTATCTTATAAACAATGAATATACCTATAGAATCCATTTGGTTATTTTGATACATTGTTTTAAAATTGAACTATAAAAAACATAACAGGTTCAAACAGTAAGCAGTCATTCACTGTTCCTTGTCAGGATATTCATTTTTTTCTATTCATGAAGCAGATATTTTAAAAAACAACTTATAAAGACTTAGCAAGGGGCTGGGGATGTGGCTCAAGCGGTAGGGCACTCGCCTGGCATGCGTGTGGCCCGGGTTCGACCCTCAGCACCACATACAAACAAAGATGTGTCCGCCGAAAACTAAAAAATAAATATTAAAAAAAAAATTCTCTCTCTCTCAAAAAAAAAAAAAAAAAAAAAAAGACTTAGCAAATGATGCTTTCCTTGCCAAGTTTTTCACAACTTAATAGACGATTGACTCAAAAATATGATGTTCATTTATCCTACCACATTTCATAAAATAAATTTTGAACCGGACCTGGTGTATTTCTTTTCTGAGCTTTTTTTTTTAAATATAGTAGTGAATTACTGAATTTGTGAATTTAATCTTAAGTAAATGACATTCGTACTGGTAGTTGTACATTATATTTAATTCAGTATAAAATGATGTCTCAAAATAAGTAAAACCCAACTAACTGGCTGTTTTACTATTTTTCAGCACCATGTCCATTCATTTAGTACCAGTTTATATTCCACTTAAGTGGTTCTCACACTGTAGTATGTCACAAACTCAAAACAAGGAGGCACTGTAGTATAACAAAGTAACAGGAAAAGTATCAAAAATTGTCAGTGTAAAGTTTTATTTTATATTTTATACTGCTTTACACACTTCACTTTCAGAGGGTATTCTAAAGCCCTGCTATAATATGAAAGCATCTTATGATTAAGGATAGCTACTTGATGTGTACCATTATACCTAAACATAATAGTGGTAAGGGCTGACTTCCAGAATGCCTGATTTCATGAAAGATGCTATTTAATATATCATATTAAAATGTTGTAAAATTCAGTGAAAATATGTAGAAAATGGCTTATGCTTCCTTCTCAACTGAAGCTGAATGAGGGAAGTAAAGGAGGGGTACTGACATTAGCAGGAATGGTGGACAAGGAAGACAAAACCACCAGTTCAGAAAAGATTATCATTTAAATCACATTTTAAAAAGATATATACATTTTTATTTGTAGGAGCCAACAAGTTAATTTTATTTTTACATGGTGCTGAGGATTGAACCTCAGAAGTGCTAGGTTCGAGCTCTACCACTGAGTCACGAACCCAGCCCTAAATCACACTTTTTAAAATTATATAATTGAGACTTCTGGGATTTTTTTTCCTTGCAAATATTATTAGATGTAAAGCCCAAGACACTATTACACTAAGGTTACTCACTAGACCTTGTCTGTGTTGTAATGTGGGATGGAGGTGCTGTGAAATCTCAAACATTACAAGTTTTAAATCTCAATAGCTGGCTACAAAGTCAATATTTTAATGAAATTTTTAAAATAGCAAATGCATTCTTTCAACTAGAATTATGAAGGTGTTTTTTAAAAAAAAAAATTGCCACCTAGGTTTATTGACTGTGCTTACTATTTAAAAAATTATTTATATGCTACTTTTTAATATAAATCATTCAGGTTTTAAGCTGTACTTGTTTTGTATGAAGGGGTTATTATCAAGGATTGAACCCTGGGACACTTAGTCACTAAGCCACATCTCCAGCCCCCCCCCCCTTTTTTGAGGAAGGGTCTTGATAACTTGCTTAGGACCTCGCCTCACTAAGTTACTAAGGGTAGCTTTGAACTCATGATCCTCCTGTGATTATAGGGGTGCCCCTATCTTTTTCAAAAAAATTTTATGATGAATCTGAAAAAGTGAAATACAGCTTTTCCAAAGAAAGCAGCAGCTCAAAAATGAGCCAGCTTCACAGATCATGTACAGAAGCAATTAGCTATAAAGTTTGCAAGACCAAGGGTATACAGCTCAACAATAGAGCATATATGGATTCCAGTTGCAGGACCATAAAATAAAAGCAAGCTTTTTGTTGAAGGCTATCTTTTAAGATTAAATAATGAACTTTATGAGATTTGAGAAGTTAGGAGCTAACAAATGAAGCTGTTAATTTGATATCCAAGGTCTATTACATCTTCCTACCCTAAATCCTATTGCCTAACAGTTCATTTTGTCAAAAGGTACACTTTCCCACCCCATTCATTACTGAAAAATAAGGATATTCATGTCGAGGGTATAGTTCATGTTTAACGTGCAAGGCACTAAGTTCAATTCCCAAGACAACAAGAAAAAAAGATTTTCTTCTTGGTGTGGATTCTTAGGATTTTACATTTACCTTCTAAAAATTATACATTATATTATTTTCAAATGAAACAGCCTCTTAAAACATAGAAAAATCACAAGTTATTCCAACTTACATTTTTGCAACTTCTTTAACAACATCACGGCAGGTCATTTCTTTCATCTACAAAAATATAGTATATATTCGTGAGATAGACTCTTGGATCTAAAACCATCTAACTTAAAATCCAAAAAGAACAGACCATAGAGTTTCCTGATTCACAATTTAGTATTTTTCAGTTAACATGACAAATAGATATTCTAGATAACCACTAATTTTATGTTAAATTTTTAGAAGCCTCTATCAATTCATTTATAAGTAGACCCTGAAGTTTAAAAAATTGGAGGGAGAAAAAATCTTGAGTTTGTTTTCAGCCAATTTACTTAATAAAATGCCAAAAATCATGCTAGATAGTAGGTACCTACAAAACAGAAAGAACAACAAAAGAAATTGTTCTTAAGGGATATCAGGGAAAGCTTTCGGAAACCATCAGGAGGATTTAAGCAGGTTCTTAGAGCACAAATTGGATTTGGTTTGATTGCGGGAAGACAAATGTTAATCCACAAAGCAAAAGAGGGAAGCCAAAAAGTTCATTCATGTGTTTTTTTCAGTATTTGAAAATCAGAGTAGGAAAAAAAAAACCTATTTAGTGGTCAGCAGAGCAATGTGTACATTATTCAGATGCAACCCAAACAAAGATTTAATCACAGTGTTTGAGCATACTAGCATTTATATTTTGGATATGTCAGGAGGATGGAAAATGGTGAAAAATACAGAACACTTTTACATTGGTCCAGACTCGAAGTGTGATTCAACTACTAGTGTCATTAAATCAGGTTCATTAAATTTATTTTTATTTTAATTTAATTTAGAAATCCTGATGCTCAAGTTGTGTCTACAGGACGACATGAGGAAGTAAAAACCATAACATTAAGTTTAAGAACACTAATCTTAGGAAACAGACAAATCCTATCACAGAAAAAAAGGCAACCGAGATGAACTCTTCAAAATATGCATGGATTGGAGACTTGAGAGATCTAAGGAACAAATTCATTATGAATCTTTACAATATGGATTTAAAATCATTTACAAAATGAGATTATTGAGGCAATGCATGTTAAATTAGGGGTAAAAGAAAACTAATTTTCATATTTTTACCCTTACTAGGTTAAGTTCTATAGTTGGTGAATTAATTGCATCCTGCACAGGCAAACTTAAGTATAAATTGGAAAAGCACATTTTAAATAGCAAACATGTTTTTATATGTTCACAAAATATTTTTTTGTAAATAGATCATCAGAGGTAAAACAGGCTATAGAACTGATGTACAGCAAGAGGTGACAAAAAATTCTTTCAGTAAAGGACCAAACAATACTTTTACTAAAAGTAGCCATAGACTGTGCCTGTATTCCAATAAAATTTACTTAAGAAAGCAGGCAGTGGGCCAGTTTTCAATCCCTGATTTAGTAGTACATGACTTTAAAGTATGTGTTCCTCAAATGAAGTGATTGTTCTAAATTTTTATCTGGGATTGGTTGTTTTCCCATTTGTTACTTTGGTTTAACCACAGACAAAATAAATTGCTGACTATTCTTATACTTTTTTTTTTTTGGGGGGGGGGGTTGCTACTGGGGATTTATCCCCGGAGTGATCAAACCCTGAGCCACATCCTCAGTCCTTTTTATTCCAACAAAGGGCCTAAATTGCTGGGCACTAGCATGCCCCATTGCACCCATACAGAACACAGAACACTCTGGAGAGATGTAAACAAACTGGTTTACTCTTACACCAACTTATTATGTGACCCTAGGCAGTGTGTTATCCTAGGGTTGGGCTGTAGGCTAAGTAGTGTCCCTAGGTCCTTTTTTCAACTTTACTAAAATACCAAACATGAATCAGATTTCTAGAATTTGACATTAAACAAATGCTAAACACTAACAAGTGTTTTCTAGAACTGGGCCTTAAGTATGCTGAATGAGTAAGTCAGGTTGTAGTTTAGCATTCATACTGAGTGTACCTGAAAATCTCTATAAAACTGAAACTGATAGGTCATATCCTTG